GTCCTGGACATAATATACATTTTAATCACAAATTAATTAAAGTCTAAATTTAAGAGCAAAAAATACAAAACTATCAAAATGAAATGTAAGTATAAATCTTTACAACCCTGGATCAGGCAATTTTCTAGGTATGACACGGAAGGTCTAAGGCAGTCAAGAAAATTACAGATAATTTCATTGCTGTTAAACATTTTGTACTTCCAAGGGCATTATCAAGAAAGTAAGAAAACAATCTACTTTTGCTGGCACTCTCTCTGTATCTCTGTCTCTGTTTGTCTCTGTCTCTCTGGTGAAGTTGATTTGGTCCCATCAATTGATGACACATTTGGGCTTCATATACTAGGCTTCAGAAGGCTGAGATTGGGGTTAAGAACTATAACTAAGGGAAAGGGAAGACTTAACCCTCTTGATTCCGGGTCCTCAAATGTCCCATACACTTGGGTAAATAGTTGTACCTGGATGCAGCACAGCATGGCAGAGACTGCCCCAGGACTGGTGCCAGAGCCTTGCAGCATTGCCATCTGCACACAGAGACACCAGTGCTCATCATATTATGCTGCCATGGGGTTTAGTGAGGCGAAACTGTGGATGTCTGGGCACCAAACAAAATACAGTGACTTAATCTTTCCTGATAATGGAGATAATGTCAGAAATCCAGGAGTGTATCTCCTCCCTTTGCTCTCTTTATCTCTGCATCCCCAGCATCTCACACATGCCTGGCACAATGTAGGTGATAAGTTGATCTGTACAAAATGCATAAAATAAATACTAGTTGAATAGCTAATTCACAGCTAAGTGGTGGTGGCAAGCATACACTTTGCCTCTGTAGTTAGATGCCCTTTAGCTTCCTTAACCTTATGAAGTTACCAGTGACTTTTCAATACTTTTCTGTACTAGTTAGTCATTCACAGCTTTAAAACCAGGTATTTAAGATTCAAAACTACATTTGGTTTTTATCAGACAAGTTCTTGTTGTATTATCCAGGTTGTCCTTGAATTCAAGGACATCCTCCTGCCTCCATATTCCAAATGCCACCATGTCTAGCCAAAATTACTTTGAGACTCAAGCTATTTTGCCATGACAGAAGAAGTTATTTTCTATAACTTCATGAATCAACCTGATTCGTGTGGTCTTTGTTTATTGTATTTCTTTCATTTTCTTCAGTGATGGGGGCTGAACCTAGGGACTTACATATAGTAGGCACTCTTACCACTGAGCTCTATCTCCAGCTCTGTTACTGTATTTCTTAATAAAAACTACAATTAAATGTTCTACCATTTTACATATGCTGATAGCTTTAGTTGTTCTTTTTCCTTTCTGCTCTTCAGGTGTAAGTTTCTACATTTTGTCTATTTTTTTAAGATTTATTTATTTTTATGTGCTCGCATGCAAGCGTGTGCGTGAGTGCGTGCGTGCGTGTGTGTGTGTGTGTTCCTACGTTAGCTTATGTGTACCATGTATGAGCAGGCACCAGAAAAGTTTAGAAGAGGGTGTCAGATCCTGTGGAACTGGAGTTACAAGTGGTTGTGACTCTCCCAATGTGGGTACTGGGAACTGAACCCTGGTCTTCTACAAGAGCAGCCAAGTACTCTCAACAGCTGAGCCCTCTCTCTAGCCCCTGTTTTGTATATTTCCATCCATGATGATGGGGTACTAGGTTTAGGCTCTGTATTTGCTGAGACCTAAAGCAAGTTCTTGTTTCAAATTGAAGGATTTGTGGTCCTCTGTACTATTGTACATAAATGCAGAAGAAATGTTATAGAGGTAGACCTGAAATAAACTCAGTTTGTCACGCTAGGACTTCTGGCAGTGATAGCCTTGTCTTCTTCAGGGCACCTGCCCTTTTCTCTGCTGCAGTGGAAACTTCACAGGCCATGGCCACAGCTATGTTATGTTTACACTGTGTCCCTGTGTCCCTAGTGCTGACTCAGTGCCTGGCATGCAATAGGTGTTCAGTGTGTGTGTGTGTATGTGTGTGTGTGAGTGTGTGTGTGTGTGTGTGTGTGTGTGTGTGAGAGAGAGAGAGAGAGAGAGAGAGAAGAGGTTGAGAGAGAATTAATAAAATTTTACCAGTTGAAACATAAAGGAACAAAGAAAATGAGGTAAAAAAAAAAAGTTGAGCACTGAGCAGAAATTAGTTAATACCTCAGTGTATTAGTCCTATGCTATAAACAGAACGAAATGTCATTAAATCCATGCATGAGACTTTTTGCACTGTACTTATTGGGACATTGTTTAAGTATTTCCTTACAGTCTGTTAATAGTTTTGACAGCTATAATAAGCATCTGAATTTCCACCCCCAGATTAGAGGCCATTTGATAGATACCATTTGTGGACACAAAACAGCATCAAGTAGGGCATTTTTAGAAGAAAAGTCATAAGCTGTGTGTAACAAAAATGCACAAATTTGAATCTTTAGATCTCTACTCTTGTGTGTTTGTGTGTCTCCAGGTGTTCTCTTGGGATTTTGATATAGAGAAGGGTATTATAAGTGAGGGACTAAAAAGAAAGGAACAGGGCAGGTAAAGGAAACCAAGATGACCACCAAGCAGGCCCCATTTGGAAAATTTGCATTGTTCTAAGAGTGGGTGAAGACAAGACCTAAGCAAGCTTTGTGAGCTTGTGAGGCACTTTTCCTTACCATTCTGAAACCTGTTTATCCCCACACAACTATAGGTTCCCAGGAAGTTGTGAACTAAAGGCTACCTGTGGCTTTTCTTGTCTGTTTTTTGTCTGCTGTGGTTTATCAGAGAAGTGACTCTGGAAAGTTAATTTGTTTAGCTATTAGAGAAGTGTTCTTTTTCTGAGTGTCACTCTGCTGTGATTCGATACATAAGGGTTAGGTTCTTCAAAAGCTGTATGAAAAGAACTTTTATAAAAAGTCTAAATATACTTAATGTGCACAAAACATTAAGAACTCTAAATAGATTCTGAGAAAAGCTGTGTCCTACCATATAGCGATTGATGTTAATGATTACTACCATAAATCATGCAATGAAAGATTTGTGGTCTCTGTTTAGGAAGGCAAGAAAAATTATCACATAAATGTATGAGTCTATAGTGAAAACTAGAAAGAACTCAAATGTACATCAATGGGGAATTGGCTGAATAAGTTATTCAGTAGAATAACTTTATTCAGCAGATTTCTAAGTACAATAACAATGACACACATAAATATACCTCACACATAAATACACCACACCTATATGTGTGCGTCCCTTTTTTCTTCCCCTGTCAGACTGGCACTGCTAATGAAGTGCGCAGTGGCCTGGGTTACACTGCTCTGCTTCAGTGCTAGGTGATCTCAGATGCCTCTTGGCTTCAAATACCAGTTCAATGCGGACAGCTTGACATTTGTATCTCCGATGCTCTCCTTTCTCCTCAGTCTCAGACTCTCACAGTCAGTTGACAACTTGACACTGTCAGCAGTGTACTGGCCCATTGCCTTCCAAGACCCTCTCTCCATTCCCAAGCATTGCTGCAGGAGCTACCTTTTACTTCTCTTTTTGTCTTTTAATGGCTCCTGCCCCCATTTACTCTGCTCCTATATATCTACCTTTATTCTGTTTTTTAGCATATCATGTTCTTGGTTGGCTTGGAAACATGGCCTTTGCAGTTTTCCCTTTTCCTGGAATGTTTTTCCTTCTAAATGTCAAACGAGTGGTTCCTTCTTGCCATTCAATCTCAGACGTCATCTCCTCAGGAAGACCCTATCTAACCAGCATATCTAAGGATGCCCTCATCCCTCAATAGCTCTCTGTACCTTATTTGATTTTTATCCATAATATATTTTATCACTAGTCTCCCCAGTCAAAACAGAATCTTCATAAAAATAGGGAACTTCCATATATTGTTAATACCTGAAACTAGAATGTCTTGGAAGAGCCCCTTGAATATAATAAATGTTCAATTAATGCTTATGCTAAATAGGGAGCTAGGGTGTAACTAGTGCTTGCACAGGAAGAGTGAGGCCCTCAGTTCAATGCCCAGCACAGACTAAAAGATTATGCTAAATAATGTTCCCGAGGACATATACCAGACAGTTTACAGTAGTTACTTCTGACTGCAAGTAGCATTAGAGGCAAATTATGAATTCATATTCACTTTTCTGCCAAAAAATGTTTTAGTCTTAAAATGATTTGAAGTAAAATATATTTTAATTTTAAATAATGATTGATAAGGGTTGTATGCTCAAAATGAGCTGTGTTTACTGGGAAGATGCAGTGCTAGACATTTTTTTTTTCCTTTGAAGGTTCACTTACTTATATTCTATATGTATGAACATCTTGCCTGCATGTATGTGTATGTACCACATGTGTGCCTGGTACCCACAGAGGCCAGAAGAGAGTGGCAGATCCTCTGGAACTGGAGGTACAGACAGTTATTAGTTGCCATGTGGGTGCTAAGAACTGAACCCAGGTCCTGTGCAAGAGTAGCCAGCGCTCTTAACGACTGAGCCAGCTCTCCAGCCCCAAATTTCCTTTTTTGATGATGTTGGGTAAGTAATATTTTATGGTTCGTGTAAAAATACATGTGACTTTGTAAACACTCTAAAGAATCGAGCAAGAAAGTTTCACCCAGTTTTCTTTCTTTTGAATTTGGTTACTGCATCTTTCTAGAAAATCAGTCAAATTCATTTCTTCTCCAAAAGTAATAAACTAAAAACCATCACCATAACGGAAAGCTTAAGCATGCTTTTCTTTATATCATACTTTGCATCTTTGATACAAACATAATATTGGCTGCTGTCTCCAGGTCTGAACATATGTCAGCACATGCTGGAGAGACCTTCAGCTTATCGAGTATTGCAGGTCTCTGTTTATTTTGGAACCTCTTCTGATACTATGGACTTAGTTCAAGGCCAGTTAATACTACTTTTTCTTTTTTCTAAAAAAAAAGACAAACGGTTAGTTGTTTGCTCTGGTCAGCCAAGTTCAAGTGATTAGATCACGGTCCTACATCTATATAAAGTCTAGTTGGAGCTCCTGTTCAGGGACAGCTTCACTTTTCTAACCACAAACTCTGTCTTGAGAATTTTTCTTGGATTTGTAAAATGATAACCATTTCTTTGACCTGGGGGATTACTGTAGTCGTGTGCTGTTGCTTATGGCTTATCTTTGGAATAAGAAGAAGGTAAGGAAAGTGTTTTATTTGACTCGTCTTTTAGCTAATTTATCTAGCATTGTTTACCTTCATTATTATACAATTTTATTTGCAAGACTTACATATTTGTATTTTTAATTTAAAGTGGTATCTGTTTGACTAAATCTGACAAAATGTGTGACAGCTTTCCTTTTGAGCATTCATATATACCAACAGCAATGCAGACACTTGTTAAACATAACTGAAAGAAAATGTCTAAGATTTTGGTGTGTGTTTGTGTATGTGGGAACAAAGGAAGCCAAAGTTGGGAAGGATACAATTGGAAAGCAGAACTCTGCAATGGAAAATGTTCATTCTATCACATGGATTAAATAGATGCTCTGGCTAAATAAGGGTTCTCTTTAAAGCTAGCTTGTGTGCATAGACTCAGCCTAAGCCTGGGTAAGAGCCCAAGCCCATCATTCTCTTATTTTTCTTTCTAATGTTAATCAGTGGTGTGACTGGGGGACTTTGTTATTTGCACATGGCACCAGTTTGATTGATATATATCATCTATTTACAATTGGTTCAAGAAACAATGATTCAGAGTCATAGTTTACTTAACTTGTGATTGGCTTAAAGTTTATTTGAACATAGGACATTTAGATCTTCTCTGCTTTGTCAACATCAAAGTGAGAGAAAAAACAGCAGCACGTCTTCAGCTAGGTAGGTGGCTGTGTGTTGTCAGACTCTGAACATTTTCTTTGACCTTCGAGTTATTTTAATTTTGACCTGATAGTTTCCAGTTTCAATTAAACTACTTTTCTTCATGCTAAGAAAGTAAAAATAATTACATTCAGTTATTCTAGCAAGAAATACAGTAGTTTATGTTAGAAAATAAGTAAGATTATAATTTATAATAGAAACATTTAAGATAGTATTAAAGATCATTGAATTATAGTTGATGATCCTGTCAGTGTTTACCTTACTCAATTTCATTTTATAATCAGCTAATTTTAAAGTGAGAGTCCCTGCTCTTCAAATAGCATTGGTCAAAATGACATCCCATTTTCAGAGTTGGGAATCAAATCCCAGGTTTGTACATGCAAGAGCTCTACCATTCAGCCATACCTCCAGTCTCTAGAACATCAATATATTTTTACTGTGATGATTTTGAAAACTTTGATCCTGCAGCCCTTTCTGTTATTTGGTGTTTCGTATCTTCAACGACATAAAACGAAACATTTTAGGTATATAAGCAGTAAAAGATAGTTCACTTCAACACTGAGAGCAAGAATCTTGTTGGCTTTATTGACCATTTCAGCCTGTCATTGGGAAAAATCAGATACAGATATAATAAACAGTTAACGAGAGCTTGTTGAATATATGTATGCACATATATATGCATGAATGGGTGGATGGACTGGTGGACTGGTTGTTGGGTGGTTTGATGAGAGAGTAGAGTTAGTAATCATTTTTCATCAGAGTATCATGTTAGTAGGCTAAAAAATCAACAATTTAGCCAGGCGTGGTGGCGCCTGCCTTTAATCCTAGCACTCAAGAGGTAGAGGTCTGCCTGGGAGACCCTGTCTCAAAAAGACCAAAAAAAAAAAAAAAAAAAAAACCACAAAAAATCCACAATTTAGTAAAAGAGAAGGATTCCATCAACGAAGTATTTATAAACTTATAGATATGAAGATTGATGTCAGTGGAGAAATTTTTAAACTTGGCATAAAAAAAACATGAAACATGTAATTTTCCATACCTGCCAAACTTTTGTGTTTTACAGGCAAGTAGGTGAACCACCTTTGGAGAACGGGCTGATTCCATATCTGGGCTGTGCTCTGAAATTTGGAGCCAATCCTCTTGAGTTCCTGAGAGCAAATCAAAGGAAACATGGTCATGTTTTCACCTGCAAACTAATGGGAAAATATGTCCACTTCATCACAAACTCCTTGTCATACCACAAAGTGTTATGTCATGGAAAGTATTTTGATTGGAAAAAGTTTCACTACACCACTTCTGCGAAGGTAACTAGTTTATACAGAATTCTGTTTGCTTCCTAGATTATTAGTATATCACTCTATTTAGTTGTTCTAATGTTATTAGATTATAAGGAAGAGGTAACACATCAAATCAGAAATTCAAGGTAAGTATAGATTTGTCATTTGTTAAGGACACACACACACACACACACACACACACACAGAGTGCTTTACCAAGCAGATGGCACTGTATGAATAAGACAGGTAAAAACTCATCACACCAACTGTGTCTGTAAGTACTCAGAGTATGAATGCTGGTCAACTTAACATTCAGCTGATGTTTTATCACATCGATGCCTACCAGTGTTTCATTTCATTAAGGAACGGACCATATATTTAAACATCATTTAGATGTTATCTAAGAAGCTCTGTTCTAGAGAAAACAAACACTCCTTCCTGAGTTTTGTCAAGAAAATATTAGACATAGCTTTTGCTACTAAGTAGCTTGAAATCTAGTTAAACTGCATCTACAAGAATAAAAAGGCAATAATGATCAAAATCACATCAAATTAATGCAGTAACATAAGAAATAAGAAATGACAAACTAGTTCAGAGAAGTCTCAGTAAAAAACCTGGGATTTAAACTTGACCTTAACTGAAGACTATGACTCAGCCATGCCTTTAGAAAATGATGTGCCATCGTACTATGGAATGCAAGAGAGTTACTCATGCATCTAATCTACCTGCAGGCCATTTCCTAGCCCTAACTCAAGTTTAACACTGCCACTGCCTTCTCTTTTCACGTATTTTCCTCTCTGTCAGGCATTTGGACATAGAAGCATTGACCCAGATGATGGAAATACCACTGAAAACATCACCAACACTTTCACCAAAACCCTTCAGGGTGATGCCTTGAATTTGCTCTCGGAAGCCATGATGCAAAACCTCCAATTAGTCATGAGACCTCCTGGCCTCCCTAAATCAAAGAGTGCTTCCTGGGTCACAGAAGGGTTGTATGCTTTCTGCTACCGAGTGATGTTTGAAGCTGGCTATTTAACTCTGTTTGGCAGAGATATTACAAAGCAAGACACACAAAGAGAGCTTATTCTAAACATCCTTGACAGCTTCAAGCAGTTTGACCAAGTCTTTCCCGCACTGGTGGCAGGACTTCCCATTCACTTATTCAAGACTGCTCACAAAGCTCGGGAAAAGCTGGCTGAGGGCTTGAAGCATGAGAACCTCTCCAGGAGGGACCAGGTCTCAGAACTGATCCGCTTGCGCATGTTTCTCAATGACACGCTCTCAACCTTTGATGACATGGAGAAGGCCAAGACGCACCTGGCTATCCTCTGGGCATCACAAGCAAACACCATTCCTGCGACCTTCTGGAGCTTATTTCAAATGATCAGGTATCTAGTACCTTATTTTCTTATTCTGGTTGAAATTACAATTTTAACTGAAAATCAGAAAGACTCCCTGCACTTTCTATGCCTTCAATCAAGAATATAATACTTAATACCCATGTTTAACATGTGTTTAATGTAAACATGAGCAGTATTTTATAGAAACACAGTCCTACAGAAAGGGATGCCCAGAAGCTACGGATGGGCCTGTACCTGATCAATTCAGATCCCCTGGTCCAGATTTGTTCTTAACCCCATAATGTTCCTCTTAATACAAAATTAAACCCATGAATCCAATCTTCATAATCAATAAAATATTTAAAATAATTGTTGACTTCTGGACAGGGATCAGTGTAGGGGCTCTGCCTTATTGATTTGTGCCTTCGTGTTTCTCCTCAATAACTGCTGCCTCACTGGAATAAAGTCACATCACTACAGCAAAGTTGAAATATTAATTTAATATCATATGTCCAGTTGTAGCTATATGCTATGATAGTTACACAAATACTTGTGAGTGAAACATTTCTGAGACTCAATTCACTGTAATTACATAATACAGATTTCAAACTCTAGCTCCAACAAATTTCCACGCACTCTAAAGAAGCATCCTTCATTTCATAGTTCAAAATTATCATAGAAATGGAAAACCTATTCTTCTGAAATCATGGTATGAATTTTAAAAGTAAATTCAAATTTCCATTTGGGATTTAGCTAATAACGTCTAATTGTATCTTAAATGTAATTTTTTTTGAATCACTCTGTTCATTACTTGACTGTCTAGACCTTATAGAGTTCTGATTAGGATTTTACTTTCATGAAGCTAGGCGCCTTTAATACCCCTTCTTGAGTATTTGAAGACAGCCCAGTGAAGAATGCATTGCGAGTATATGGGGATGACCTTTCCTCAGGTTCCCTGGCATTGCGAACAACTCATTAAAAGAAATGGACATTGCCTATTTACTCGCAGACCTGTGAATAAGGAAATATTTTCTGGTCTTCTTTTCCCTTTTCATAGGAACCCTGAAGCAATGAAAGCAGCCTCTGAAGAAGTGAATGAAGCATTGCAGAATGCTGGCCAGAAGCTCAGCGCTGAAGGAAACCTCATTTACTTGGATCAAATGCAACTGAATGACCTGCCAGTCCTAGGTGTGCTTGCTATGATGTGTCTCATTCACCTTGTCTCTAGTAACAATGGTCAATGCATGTTATGCATATATGACATTCTAAATAATGTACTAAGGATTTTGCATTCCCAGAACAAATATGTAGCTGGGGAAATTTCTATTTTTATATGGCAAGCAAAGAACTGAGACCCAGAGGTTAGGCTGATGCCTGGGATAGAAGGGTCAGAGGTTAGGCTGATGCCCGGGATAGAAGGGTGGAGCCAGCAGCAGCATTAACGTGGGACTTTGTGCTCAACTGTTGCCACTTTACCTCCTTGTTAGTCCTCTCGCCATTAAGCTTCGGGCTCAAGTAAGCATAGCATGCATTTTCATGAAGCAAATATGAGCAAGGTACCATCAAGAAACCTCATATAAACTTACAGTGGTGGCAACAGCATGCACAAGACCCATGTAAACTCAAACCAGACAAAAACCCCACATAGAACTGGGGAAATGGGTAAGAAGCCCCAACTTTAGCGGAGGAACCATTGGCAGCTGGTCACTGCTGGGTGAGGGAGAGTTGGTCTTCTTTAAGGGGGGATACTAGATAGGGCTGACCAGGCTCTAGTGAGTGAACTCACACTGAGGGATAGCTGGGCACACAAACTTGACTCCATAGGCCTTAACATATATGGCAGAATGCATGAAATCCAGTGAGGGAGTTTTGGGAGGGTACAGATAGGGAAGGGGGTCTAAATATGATTACGATGTATTGTATGAAATGCACAAAAATTCAATACAAATATATATTGAAGAAAAAGTAGAGAAACCACAAGTGGGTTGGGTGGTGGGACTAAAACTGATTCGATTTTTCTTCTTTCTGTTCTACTACATTTGGAGGAAATGTATGTGCTAAATGTTTATAGTAAAAAGAATCTTTCTTTTCAAATACTTTTCTCCAAAGGAAGTAAGCCAATATACAATTTTAAGGACAGTTTAGATTATTGGAAGGGACAGGAGGCAAGAAGCTTAGGATCTAGGTCTAGCTCTGCCTGTCATGGGAGACTTGGACCTGTCACTTGTCTCTGAGGACCTTCTTTTTCTCATTTGTAAATAAAGTGCTAAGGGTTGACGATGATATACACAACCACGTGGAACAAGGTAGTTGGAGGGTAGAGGCTGGAAGGTCAGGCTGGGCCTCTCATAGACGTCAGCTGTTCTCCAGGTTCCTTTTCTTCTTTCATGCCTTTACCTGCCAGCAGGGCATCATTATACATCAGATAGCAAGGGTGAAAATGGGTTCTTGAAATTACTGAATGGCAGATTCATGGAATACCTGGAGAAACATTTCTAGATCAATGTGTGGTCAGTATATTTAAGCTCAAAAATGGTAAATAGAATTTAAAAGTTTCCCCCCAATTTCATTAGCTGTTTAGTTTCATTCAGAAAAAACAGTGCTGTCTTATAAAATGAGAGATATTTATCTAGTTCCCATTGGTGGCCAAGATGATATATCTGTACCAAAAGATTAGATCAGATGATCAGGTTAAATATATATTCCAAAATAACTAAATCACTGATAACAGCAGAGAGGTAAAAGAAAGAGCTTTGGAAAGTTTTTATCTGGTTGGCTTCCTAGTTTATTTATCTCTGTATAAAACCTGCTAGAAATATTTCAGATTTTATATTATGTAGCCTTTAAATATGCAAATTCTTCTTTTCTCTCTTATGTCCCTCTCCCTCCCCTCCTCCCTCCCTCCCTTCCCCTTTCACCCCTTTCTCTTGAAATGTTTAGATAGCATCATCAAGGAGGCTCTACGACTGTCCAGTGCTTCCCTGAACATCCGGACAGCCAAGGAGGATTTCACTCTGCACCTTGAGGATGGTTCCTACAACATCCGAAAAGATGACATCATAGCTCTTTATCCACAGTTAATGCATTTGGATCCCCAAATATACCCAGACCCTTTGGTAAGAACCTGCTCATCAAAGTTCTGTATGCAGGTGATATCCACCCAGGTCTAAATAAGGCAGGAATTTGTTACTGTGGCTTTGATTTGATCATTGTAACCACAGGGCTAGTATCCTTTATTATAGGAAATATGCACATAGTTTGGAAAGTTTGAATAGAGGTATGAATTGTTAACTTTCAGCCCTGATACTTTCATCCTGTAATTTCAGATAAATTATATTTTCAGTCATGATAATAAAACTACATCCTTTCTTTTTCCTTAAAAAGCACCTTCTTGCAACTCCATGGAATTGGAGATTAATGTATCTGTATCGATTCTTCCAGTTTCTGCTTGGAACCCTTGTAGTTACTTCTGCCTGACTGACCAGTAGTCACCAGGCAGAGTAAGCGGCACCTTCAAAGCATCTCAGCCCTACCAGTTCTTGATAAGCTCTCGCCATTTTGGCTCTGGTTCAACGTAGAGTTTGTTAACTTGCTGATGGAGTGGATTAAAAAAGAAAACTGCTCTTTGGACCTTTCAGGTCAAGAAAGAGGTATTCCTATCAAGGTAGCTTATAGGTTTATTTTCTTTGTCTTTTCATTGCAGACTTTTAAATATGATCGATACCTCGATGGAAACCGGAAGGCAAAGACTACCTTCTACAGCAATGGAATCAAGTTAAAGTATTACTACATGCCGTTTGGATCAGGAGCTACCATATGTCCTGGAAGATTATTTGCTGTCCAAGAAATCAAGCAATTTTTGATTCTGATGCTTTTGTACTTTGAGCTGGAGCTTGTGGAGAGTCATGTGACGAGTCCCCCTCTAGATCAGTCCCGTGCTGGCTTGGGAATTTTGCCACCATCAAATGATATCAAATTTAGGTATAAACTCAAAAATTTGTGAGTGTGATTGGAAGAAGAGGACACTAGATGATGTCACTGGACTATGAAGAACTGTCATTGAACAGGCCTTTAGGAAAAATGCAGTTAGTGGCTATGGAAGTGACTGAGTAGGTCTGGTTCTGTTCAGCAATGCTCCCTAGAGGCTCTGACTGTGGTAGTGGAAAGAACTAACACCTTGAGTACCACACTTCGTTCTTCCTGCATCAGTTAGTGACTGTCCATATAGCCCAGGGCCTGAACATCGTTACTTTCAGAAGAAATATCTTTTATTTTTATTCTTAAAATGAAGATAATCCAATTGGCAGGATTTTTTTTCCTAAGGAAATTGCTTTACTTTAATGAAAACCACTCATTAATTATGAAAAGGATTTAAATTCACGTTTTAGTGAAACTATTATTTTGACTAGTGAGGTTTTTCAGGTGTGAGAACATATTATAAAAATATTTTAAAGGATCATATCAGATCTTTGCATAAAAAAGAAATACTATTTGGCTTTCTCCATGACCAGAACATTTAAAATGGTGTTAGTGTCCTGGAAACAGAAAGGGAAGTTTCCACACTTTTCTTCTATGTTTTAATTTATTGTTGCTTGAAACTCTCATTTCAATTTTCAACTACTTTATCTCTGTAAATATAGATTTGGTACCATACCAAGGAGAAGAATTTGTTTCAGAGATTGAAAAGGCACCTTTTTTTGGTCAGGTGTGGTGATGCACACATTTACTTTCAGCACTGAGGAGGCAGAGGCAGGCGGATCTCTGTGAATTTGAGACCAGCATGGTCTACTGGAGATTCTGGGTCAGCCAGGCTACATAGTGAGACCTTGCTTAAAAAAAAAATCCAAACAAACCAAAACAAAAAAGTTTTTACTTTTCCTGTAATCATAAACATGCATCAGTGTAAAAGGGAAATTTTAAATTAAAACGCTATGAGAATGACTATTTAAAATCTTTAGTTATGAAATACAAAGAGTTCATTAAGTGCAGCTTGACATTGTTATTTAAGAACATTTTATGTTTTACCCTTAAATAACTTGTAAAGAATAATAATTAAAAGCTGTATTATGTTTAAATACTGTGTGCAATAATGCTTTGGTAAAGTACTTTATTAAGAGTTATCTACTATGCTATTTTTACCGATATATTTATATGTAAATTATATTTATCCTTTTCTTATGAATATTAAGAAAATTTTGCAACACTTGGCAATTATTCACCTTTCAGAAATGAATCCATTAATATTTGTGTTTTAACTTTTGAAATAGAATGTTTAAATTATTCTTCCACTGATAAGCTTGCAGTAATTTTTCTGGATTCATTCAAAATATTCACATTTTCAAACAACTAATAATATTAAAAGTAATCATTCACTCAAAATTCACTCTCAGATTACATAAAATTCATTAAAATGCTTTGTGGGAGGGGGCAAGTCAAGTACTCTAATAAATACATAGTGAGCTACTTTCATAGTCCTTGATATACTTTTAAACTTTTAAAATCTGATCACTTAATATTATCATGGAATTATCTCTTAAGGAGGATATGTTCTTTTCTTTTTCTTTTTGAAGCCTGCTGTCCAGGCTGTGGTTGGAACTCTCTCTAGGTACTCCAAGAAACCTTTGAGTTCACTATACTTCTTCCTCTTTTGAGGAGGTTATTTTCCATATCAAGAAAGCTAACATGTTTAGATGAGGCTGAGGATTAACAAAATTCTGTTTCAGACAACCTGTAATGAACTGCACTTCTAATGTGTTTACCAAATGGATTTTGTGACTCTCTGAATGCATTCATACATCTTTCCACAACTTCTTAAAAGTGTATATTCATTATGCAAAATGATGGTTTTCATTATGATACTCTGTTCCAGGTCTTTATTCTTGTTCAGTGGTGGTTAGCAATTGATAACCTGTGCACCAAAGGTATCCCTCTTGCTTTTGTGCAGCCTAAGAGCTAAGAATATTTTTTTATGTTTTAAACACTTAGAAAATAAATCAAAAGAATATTTTGGGTCATGTGAAAAGCATATGAAATACAGATTCATATATCCTTAAATAAAGTTTTATTGGGACATGGCACATCCATTTCCTTGCAGTATATCTATGACTTCTTTTGGCATGTGTGTTCTCATGTGTATGGGGGCACATTTGTACAGGTGCATGTACACATACGCGCACATGTGTTTGGAGAACAGAAGTTAATGTTGGGTGTCTTCCTCCATTGCTCTCTACCTCATATATTAAGGCAGGGTCTCTCCCTGAGCCCAGAGCTTGCTGTATCAGCTAGTCTAGCTAGCCACCTTATCCTGCTGTCTCCCTCTCTCTGCCTCCTGAGTATTTGGATTGCCAGGAGGTCACCACACCTGTCTAGAATTTACATTGATGCTGTGGATAAGAACTTCTGTCTTCACACTTGCACTGCAAATCCTTTACCTGCTGAGACATCTCTTCAGTCCAATGTCTGTGGCTTCTTGCTGTGTAATTGCAAAGCTGAGTAGCTGCAACACAGCCCACAAAACCCCAGAGTTTACGATGTTTAAAGCCTGTTCTTCACAGAAAAGAACAGGTGTTTGCCCACCCCAACCACATAGTAACCTGCTGCATTGTTATTTTAAATTATAATTTTATTAGCTTAATATGTACTACTATATGAAAAAAAACTTAAAGTGCATGAGGGGAATTCATTTAAAATGCCACAGATACAATTTTATCTTAAACAATCTTAATCTAGAAATTAAAGATTAAACGATTCTATATAGGTTAGAATAAGGACTATACATTAAAAACAATATTGAGGGCTAAAGAGATGGCTCAGTGGTTAAGAGCCTTGACTGCTCCAATTCCTAGCACCCAGATGGCAGCTAATAACCATCTGTAACTCCAGCTCCAGAAGATCTGATACCCTCTTCTGACTTCCGCCAGGCAGAGCATGCATGGGTGAACTTACATATATGTGGGCATTACACTCATAAAATAAAAATAATTAACAAAAATTTTAAAAATATTAAAAACGATATTGTACAATGATATATGTGTATCAAATGTTGTGATAAAACTTGCTATGTATATATCAGCTAAAACTATTTTACAAATAATATAGCAGCCTGATGTTCTTACATCCTTTTTTATTTTTTGGTCTTTTTGAGATAGGGTCTCCCTGTAGCCCCAGCTATCCTGGAACTCACTATGTAGACCAGGCTGGCCTTGAACTTACAGTGATCCGCCTGCGTCTGCCTCCCAAGTGCTGGGACTACAGGTGTACGCCACCAAGCCCGGCTTCATCTTTTATCTTCAAAATAGGCAGTGAAATTTCCTCAGAAATGCTTGACCCAGTGTAGACTCCACATGTGGCATGTGTCACCTCATCATTCTGCCCTGGAGACTCGTATTGCTGTTGTCTCTGTATCTCACAGGAGAAGAAAAGGACTCTGGAAAGCTGTCACCTGCCCTTGCTCCCCAGGCTATGACAAGCAGCAGAGCAGTGAGAATTACGAATCCAGGTCCTTGTGCTCCAGAACCTGTGTATGCAGGAGGTTGTGGTTTCTGTCTTAATTCATATATATATATAAAAAGATAAATCACAGGAAACAGAATCTATGATGTCATCCCTGTTCCTCAATCCTTACTGACTTCATTATTCAGTCAGAGAGTATGGTCACTCAGCCTGAGCTCAGCTGGCCCACGGGGCCAGGAAGGAGGCTGAGGGTTCTGAGAACCAACGCAGAGCTGCCTCGTATCAACTACTTATCCTGAGCTCACCTTCAGACGTCAAGGTGTCTGTCTGCTCGTCACTGACAGAACAGTGTGGGCTTCTCCTCCTGCAGTCTTGTGTTGGTTTTGGGATCTGAGGCAGTGAGAGTAAAGCTTTAGCCTTGGTCTCATTAACAAAAGGCAGTAGGCATGGATACAGCTTCTCTCCAAAGCTTTCTCAGGCTCACTTACTGTCTCAGCCTATGCCAAGAGAAGGCAGCAGCACCAGTGTGGCTGCAGGGGGGCAGCCACCGGCCTGAGTGGATTATCATGGAACAAAAAAAGACATTTACTCTTATTTCTTCATCCACCCACAAGTGCCAAAAATACAGGCAACTGTTTATTTTCACTCATCAGAGCTACAGTTGACAGGACAGTGAATAACAATAATGTGGCTACAATATAGCAATTTAGTAAAAGACAATGACCAGGATAACAGTACCACCATAATACGCCTTCAGAGATAAAGGTGTCTCCTGAAAACTAGGGGAGTACCGGCAATCCAGAGATAACGTCCCAGTAAGCGTTCTTGCATAAACTTGCTCATGAGACAAGGCTCTCCAGGCATGCATGGTCAAGGTCTGTCCTGAATGTATCTCAAGCCACTGGCCTGAGTGTGACATCTAGAGTGTGTCACTGCTTCTCAGGAGAGCTTAGGACAGGCGCAACGGACAGAAGAGGTTCTCACACATGACTGATTGCAATATGCATTTACTAGGTCAAAGCATAACAAACACACATCAATACAAACACTCAAAAGGAAACCCGGTCCTCTAGCAGTTAAGAGTCCCAAAGTCTCAGGGAGTACCTTCCAGAGGTTAAGCCTGCAGGCACTCCATGTGGAGAGGTTCTCTTGTCCGCCGTGATCGGTGTACTCTCGCAGCTGTGGAGCTGTCGCTCGCAGGTTCTGATCACGTCCAGTTGTGGCTGACTCCCGTCAGTCTCTGGCTCTCAGGCTCGGGTCCTCGATCAGGTCTCAGGCAAGGCTCCAGTCTGGTCTGGTCTCGGGCAGAGCTTCAGGCAGAGTTCAGGCTGGTCTCAGGTCTTGGGCGATGTGCGGGATGAGGCCCACAGATTCAGAGTCCCGTGTAGCCAAGCATCGAAGGAATCTTTGAGCTGCCAGATTTTATATGTTTCTCTTTTGGCTATAGCTCATTCCAATTACGTCATTAGCCTCAGCTGTTCTTTAAGATATGGGTCACAACATGTGGTCACTTATCACCAACACACAGGCACTCAACTCACGTAGGTTCTGCTTGGTTGCTAGGTTACAACTTAGCTTCTACTTCACACAGTGTCACAGCAATGTTCAATTTGGTTTCAGAGTTTACAGAGTTAATATTCATCTTTAATTTCTAATTTCTAAATTCCTAATAAATTCCTAGGTTACAACTTAGTTTCTCATCCACCTATCTACTTCACACAGTGTCACATCAAGTTTCTAGTTTCATTTTAAAGTCACTCTTTATTTCTACTTTCCTAATACATTCAGTACAAGGTCCGGCTAAGTTTATGAAGCATATTTTAAAGCCTTAAGAACACTATTTATCACTCCCTTCATCTCCCCCTTTTTGTTTTCTAGCTTCTCAAAAAGAGCTTAGGCCGACACCGAAGCCAATGTTCAGTGTACAGCATGCATAATGATTTGAAACAATACAGACCCACAAACAAGAAACAGTAATGACCAGTATAGGGCCAAGAAAGGGCATAAACCATTGTACCCATAAAGGCCACAGACACCACAGAAATTTTAGCAACCTCAGCCTTGAGAGATCACACTTGCTGTTCAATTTGATGAGAATATTCAAAAATGTTAAAGCAATACACGCCAGGAAATTTCTCAGAGCCCAAGTGTTCGTTTAAAAACAGATGTCTACGGTGGTTGGTTTTATAGCATAGCAACTGGACGTTCTCCCAGCTCCTGACTGATCTCCCCAGGATCCAAGCGGTAATATTGGTGGTTTACTGAGAACACAAACCATTTTTACAGTTTCTTTCTACATGCCTGGAACAAGCCCAGAAATGAGAAGCAGGAAGGCAGATGCCACAGCCACAGTGGTAGGATCAAGCAGCTGAAGATTATCAACGCACTCTGATGGGACAGAATGAGGAAACCTGATAGTCTTATCTTTTAGGGTTAGCAGGATCCAGGAAATTCGTCCAAGCCCACACACCCCAGTATGTTAAGCAGGTAGAACCCGATATGTGTAGTCCTCACAGTAAAAGGTCCAGTCCCGCCCTCACCCCCACCCCTTGCCCCCCAGGGGGAGCAATTTACCTTTAAATAGGGCATGGTTAGAACTAGTTTTACAGCGAGATGGCAGTGAGTTGCAATTCAAACAAGGACAATGAGAGCACAAAGTAAAGGCAAGGGGAAAATCCATAGAGGCTTGTGATATATATTTAGCCTGAGTACCAATACTGTGTGTAATATTCTGATAAACAAGATGAGTCACTCCTAATCCCACAAAGTTCCTCTTAAGGAGACAAGTAATGGATGGGTCCCCCTGTATACAAAAAGAAATTATCTGCAGTCCAGGGGAGTAGAGACATTAACAGCTCTGTAAATGATATTTAGTTTTCCCTTCTTTATCTTAGCACGTGCACATAACCCAGCATCTCCAATCTCTAATGTGTCTTTCAAGATACTGAAATCAGTATTATTTCTGACTGATCAGAGGCATTACATCAGTCTCCAAAACCATCATTTGCTTGACTAAAGGCCTCTTTGCCATTACTGTACCAAACAGTACAGAATAGAAATAGAAACAGAAATAGAAACAATTCATTTGGCACATCAAAATCACTCTTATGCCAGCTGCTGGGAAAGTAGATATTCCTGAGTATAGATCAAAACAAACATCGTTAAAAACAATCCCAAGGGGGAAACTTTCTGTTGGGCTCGTAGAAGAGCCTGCTCGGCATCCTAACACAATTTCTTCATTTGCCCCAAGTCGGAATCTGTGCTGGATTTGTCCGCTCTGTTGTCTCAGCTTTTGGGACTGTCACCCGCATTCTCTTGAACCGATCCCCCAGTGAGTGGGAGTTCCCGATATTCAAAGGCCCTTTTCATGTGGAGGCTTCACGCTCTTGAGTAGGACCCACACAGATTCACTTGCTTCTGCGGAGACACAAGCATATCCCTTACCCCACACTTTGCCATACCCAGGTTGCCACGAGTCATGGCCAGGATGCTTATATCATACTGGCACCAGAGGTGGGGTCTGGCCATGTGGTCCTTGCACCCAATGATGTTCCATTGTGTTGGTCCCATCTTCTGCTAAAACTTCAAAATTTAAAGTGTATAAAACTCTAGATGGTCTGTTCTG